GTTCCCGAACTTCAAAAAAATATTGGAAAAACTGTCAAATAGGTCCTCGAACTTTCATAAAAAAAGTCAATTAACTCCTTCTATAGGACACTCTGTCCGGTCGTCGCGATTTGAGGCGGTTCCCGGTGGAATTTTTTGATGAAATTTTTTGAGCATCTTATTCATCAAGTCTAGTTTACTCATACCAAATTTCAGCTAATAAAATGCAATAATATAGTTAAGGCATGGTTCATGCATTTATCTCATTTTTTGTAGCTAAATTAATTGGTTTGAATGGTGAATAATTTTATCCCTATTTCGTATAATTTTCCATTTCTTTTATGTTAATATATTTTAGGGCTCGTTTGGTAGCGGCTGCAACAGCTGATATGGCTGAATCTGCTTTAAAGACTGAATCTGCTGAAGTAAAAGTGTTTGGTAATATGTTGGCTGAATTGGCTGATTGAATGTAAAATTACCAGAAAGGGTATTATTAATTAAATAAATGGGGCGAATTTTGCTTCTTTTTTTTTGCTTGAATCAATTGTTTACCATAGAAACATACTAGAAGAATATGGAGCAGCTCAGCAAAAGAAATATACTTAAAAGAATATACTTCGTAAATATACTCTGCTGTCATAATAGCAAATCAATCCAGATGATCTTCGATCCATATGCAGCTTACCTGGCCTTTGTGAATATGGAGCAGCTCAGCAAAAGTCTTCAATTTGAATCACGAAAGTGCAAAACTATGAGGCAGCGAGCAGGCCGGTGATTATGTCGTCCACTTCAATCTTGAGCAAGGGAAGATATATTCTAGATATAGAGGGCAGATTAGTCTTTGCAATAGCCAACAGTGAAATAATGAATTTCAGCTTAAAAAGTAGCAAGACACTTGTTTTTCCGGCTGATCATAAAAATCAGCCAAAACAGCCTGTTTGGCATGTGTTTGGTGATTTTTTTCTACTTTCAGGCTTATAAGCCTATTTTGAGTTCTCCAAACGGCCACTTAGTTTGATCGAGATTTTACTAATCGAGACAATTCCGTCGCAGTTTTAGTAATTTGAACACAGTCAATTATAGTGTTTATGAACAACTCCTTAGCAACAACGTGTAGTGTAGTACTTTAATTTCTAGGAATTTGAGATAGCAACACAAATTTTTATAATATACCCGTAGTATTTCTTTTCGAAATTGTGTTTTATAGTTTTCTCATATGTTGAAGTCATTTTCAAATACTCTCTATTTTATTTTTATTTTCTAGCCACCAAAATTGTTTTCTTTTTAAACAAAAAAGGTGAGTAGAGTTGCCCAATTAGTTGATAAAAAGCTCAAAGGGGTAAATGAGATTCCAACCCTAGCAATTGCGTTAATGACAGCCTTGAACAACAACAAATATATGTAAATATCATGAAGTGACCTATACTACAATAAAAAGTAAAAGTGACAATAGAGGAAGCGGTTCAGCTCAATTAATTGCCGACTTACTTTTCGTGAGATCTTAGGTTCAAAATTTTATGAAGTGACTTTCAGCGTTATTTTACAACATGCTCCATGTGGGGTACAAAAAGTACAAAAAGTGACAAAAATGAAATTGATGCACCTAGTAGACTAAACTAACAATAATGCATAAAAACAAAGAGAATTGGGACAATTCAGTATATACATAGCATATACTCCCTCCGTCCCCTTTTAAATGGGACGGGAGATGGTGGCACGAGTTTTAAGAAAAGTGAGTTTGTGTGGTTGGTATTAATTGATAAAGTAAGAATAAAGTAAGAATGATTTTGAGCCACACAAAGTTTACCAAATAAGGTATGGGGCAATTAAATAGGGACATCCCAATATGGTAAAACGGGACATTTAAAATGGGACGGAGGGAGTACATTGCAATGAAGGAGTCAATAGCTATAGAGACAATGACCTTTGAACGAATTGTTTTTTTAGAGAACCTTAATTTGTGCGAGTTTGTTGATCATAATACTCCGACTACTCTCATCCTCTTTAACCATCTATTCATGCCACTCAATATTTTAAATACTACTCCCTCCGTCCCTCTAAATTTGTCCCATTTTACCTTTTTCGTCTGTCCCACTAAGTTTGTCCCATACCATATTTGGTAGCATTTGAGTGGCTAGAATTCATTCTTACTTTATTTACACTTATTCAATTCAATACCAACCACACAATTCTACTTTTTCTTAAAAACCACACCACACTCCTCCGTCCCAAACTTAGGGGGACGGAGGGAGTACTACGTATTATTATTTTCTCAGAATAGGGTGATTATTTAGAAAGCACTTAAACTACGTACATGACATTAGTTGATTCTTATTGTATGTCTCTCTGGCAACACATTAATTCATTGTCTTAATTAAATTACTCACTTATTGATTACATCATACCGTTTCAGCATACAACTACCAAATCAGCCTCCTGAGGTAAAGACAATAAGGATTATATATTATAATAAATTTATGTAAGCTAGAGTCCCATAATGTAAGACACACTAATGCACTATGCCGTTTTTAACAATATGCGGGTGGATAATAATATGCGTACTACTATACGTAGTACTAGTATTATATTAATCGGAGTATTATATTTCTAACCCAATAAATTTAGATATGCAAATCTCTAAAAGAATCGACCGGAAGTCTACATTCACACTTTACACAAAAATTATTGCATTCGAAAACGAGACCACGTTCAGAAGACTTGTCGCAAGTATAATAAAACCAAACTGTTTATTATTTAATAGAGCTAATTTTCTTGCTTGAAAGTGACGGCACGACAATGATAGTACATTTAGAAGTAGAGTGGCCAGGTTAGGTTCTTGGGTTCGGTTTTGACCTAAAACCAAATATAGAATTAAAGTAAAAAGTTTGGTTGAGTTTCACACTCCAAAACTTGGAACCACGGTTTGATTGGTTCGGTGTGTTTCGATTCGGTTTGGGTTGTTTCGATTTTTTATCAAAAAATTATCATTTGATTTAAAATTGATATAATACATTGAGGGATCAAACATATTACATAAAGAATGTAAGTACACTACAACAAATAAAGTAAAAATGAAAATAAATAAATATGTCTTTAATTATATGAGTATGCGAGAGAGATAAAAGTATATATATTATTAATTTACATTGTTTGTAACTAATTCAAAAAAAGTTCATGAGTATATATGTTCTGTGTGATATAGTTGAGATGAATATTTATTTTTCATGACTAGTAAAAACATATTATCATCATTCAGTATAGCTACATTATTACAGACAATGAATGTGTAAATGAATTTATAAACTAAATTAAACTAAACTAAACATAACACAAACATTATTTCTCTAGCACAAGAAAACCAAAGACTATTAATGATATTAGGATTAGTTAGGATTAATGTTTAACAATTGACAAATAAATTTTGTATTTTAATTAGTTCGGTTTGTTCGGTTCGGTTTGAAGGGTAAATATCAAAACCAAACCAAATAACTATGGTTCGGTTTGGTTTTTTACATTCGATTTTGGTTTGTTAGCGTTTCGGTTTCATTTGGCTACGGTTCGGTATCACTTGATTCGGTTTTCGATTTTTCGAACCCAACCCTATTTAGAAGTTAGGGCATTTTTATTCTCGTTTAGAAAAGGTGAACTGTTATGAATATCTAACATCTAATTGAATTTTAATACTAGTAATCAATATCTCTGTCGTTTGGTAGGAATATTCTAACATGGTCTAATACTTCAATCTACTTTTTTTGAAAGGTACTCCAATCTACTTTTTATGTCCAATTTTTTTATGTAAAGGCTTACTTAGTTTTTCTAAAGTTTTATTCAAATAAAGTTTATAGACAAAGTATGACCGTACTTACCATATGTGTAACTTCACAATCACTACCATGTGTAACTTCATCTAAGGTCGCGGGTTTAACCAATGAAAATGCTAAATCCATTCCTACTAATTGGAATGACACCATTACCTCCCAACCGTGGGTCTCCCTCTTTAAAGATAATAGGGAGCCAAAAAGGGTATGAAACTTAGATATATAGAACCGGTTGGTGACTATGTTGATCTCTCGAATAGAACTTTGTCGTCCATGATTGAATTATGGGGTTTTTGTCTTGTGGCCTACTTTGATGGGCGTTTTCTCGGTTTCAAATTGATACATGATATGATGAACAAATGGAAGGTTCCATGCCAAGTTAGATCCCATGACAAGGGATGGGTCATATTTAAATTCAAATGCGAGGAGGATAGGACCAATGTTCTCTTGGGTGGACCTTACACTTTCCTTGGAAAATCTTTTCCTTTGAAACCTCTTTCGGATGATTTCTCCATGGATAGTAATGAATTTCTAAAACTGCCCATTTGGGTCCAATTCCCTCACCTCCCTATGAAAATATGGGAAGAGGACATTATTAGTGAAATTGCTTCTCGGGTTGGTGTCCCTTTGGCTACGGATAGAGTTACCCAAGAGAAAGTTAGATCTCACTTTGCTAGAGTGTTGATTGAAATTGATGCCTCCAAAGCCCCGCCTCTTGAGCTCAAAGTGAAACTTCCCAATGGGAGATTCCATACTTTCATTGTAAGACATACCCTAATTATTGCTTTCATTGTAAGACTTTCGGCCACCATGCTTTTACATGCAAAGCTTTGGCCGAGAGGGAAAAGAAAGAGAGGGATGAAAAAGAGGCAAATGTGAAGCCTAAAGAGGCACCTACTCTTAAGACCACCATTGATAACTCCATTCCTAATAGGAGGAAAGGAAAGGAACCTATAAATGTGGAAGTGCATAAACATGCGGGCTTCAAAAGTTCAAAGTTAAGAAAAATGACCACCCTTTCTTTAGGGTGACTTGTATCTAAAGGTAGTTCGTTCATAGAATTTGTGAATAATAGTTTTAGTTGATAACTTGATAAGCTCAGTCTAAAAGATAAAATGCCCTAAAAGGATATAATTAAAATAAAAACAGTATTAATAATAATAATAAGAAGAAGAAACATACGGATTACGGAGTATCAAATAAGCATGTGAATCAAACACGGCTTATTTGAAAAGGAAATGATCAAATGAATAAGCCGGCATAGTTCTTTAAGTAATAACCAATGAAATGAGGTGACAGAATACCAACATGCAACTCAATTTACTAAGCTTCTTTATTATTTATAATAACCTAAGCTAACATTTTGAACAGCGCATGGTGTATAAAGGATATATGCACCATGAAAGTCATAAAAACTTGTTAATGTTATATACACACATGAACTACTACCAGTACATTGTACATATATGTATATAACAGGGGAGTGAGTTGGGCAATATATACTTCAGCTATCCTTGGAAGACACCTCTGGAAGATTAAAGGTGGGAGGTTTGTCAACACCACCTCTCCGAGAATACTCTCTCCATCTTCGGGCAGCAGCAGCAGCTCGATTCACTCGTTTGTCTGCTTCCTCTGAAACAAATTAAAAAGCTCAAACCACACTATTTCATATGCCATCTTTGTCTCAAAGACTCAAATAATAAAAAAAGGGAAAACTGTCAATTACGCCCTCCTACTACGTAGGGAGAGTCAATTAGGTCCCCTTACTTTAAAAACATCCAATTATATCCTCCTACTCATAAAAAACGTTCAATTAAGTATATCTAGCAGGTAACCCACCCACCGGTCTCCCGGTTACCTACACGCATGGCAGCCCATGTGGCAGGCCACGTGGCCATCTTTTTCATTTTTCCTTTAATTTCTTGTTCCTTATCTTTCCTTTCTCTTCTTTCTCCCCATTTTCTCATCCTTACCTGGTTTATGCGCAGGACGCCTCCTGAACCTATTTCCCCTCCTTTTCTATTCTTCCTCTGTTCCTTCTTACTTCTTTTCCTTTTTATTGCAATTCTCTTCCTTTTTTTTCTTGTACAAACCCTAAGCTCATTCCTCTTCTTCCCAGAAACAAACTTGCCGGAAACTTAGCTGAGATTAAGGCGATGGCCGGAATCTACTCGCCGGAAATCAAACTGCTACGTCGTCGGAATCTACTCGGAAAAAGAAGAAACAAACAGAGGAGAAGAGAGTCTTTTGAGGACGGCAGATGCCGCCACCTTTTGCAGAAGCCTGACAGATCTCGTAGCAGTCGGAATATGTCCATACTCGCAGCCGCCATCGTCGACGGCGGTGCCGTTGAAACTAATGCTCGGATCTACAACGAGCTCACCAATGTTGGCAGTCTGGCACCTTTATGAAAATGAAGGAAGAAAAAAAAACTTGCAGAGGAACGAAAGTTGTTGCAGAGGTGTGCTGGGAACGAAGAGCAGGAGAGAGAAATAAGAAAAGAAAAGAGAAAAAGAATTAGAAAAGATAAAAATTTCCACGTGGCCTGCCACATGTGCAGTTTACCGGAGGACTGGTTGGCATAGTGGTCATGGCGCACGGCGATCGCCATGGCTCAAAGGCATTTTTCATGGCGCATGGCGATTGCACATATATGAATGGCGCATAAAGCACATATGGCGCTATGGCGACGACCAGTTTTTCATGTCGATGGCGCATATGGCGCGCGCCATATCTAGCCATTGACTACTATGCTGGTTGGTGACCTGTTAGATATACTCAATTGAATGTTTTTTAAGAGTTGGAGGATATAATTGGGTGTTTTTAAAGTAGGGGGACCTAATCGACTATCCGTGCATAGTAGGAGGGTGTAATTGACAATTTTCCCATAAAAAAATGAAGATGGAAAATCTCTCATTTAAATGGGACGGGGGGTTTGCCTGTGTTTTCATTGGTCATGGGCTTTCCCCAAATGTAGCTCCAGTATGGATCTGTTTTATCATATTCTTTCTGCCTCACCATCCTATATTTAGCTTTTTCCTGCAACAGATTTATTTCGTGATAAAATTACAAATGCTTATTGGAAAACGTGTGTATGTTCATGCCAATAAGTTTGTACCAAGACTTTTAGTTGTCTCTTTTCCCATCGAGTGCTTGCCTGCAGCATTCAAATGCATCTCGTAAATTTCTTCTTTTCAAATTTGGCATCACATTTTTGTAAAAAAAAAAAATTAAACAATACCAACCCATTGGATTGCTAAAGTTTTAATCAACATCAACCCATTAACAAATTCCAAGTATTTATACATTAACACAAAGCAGTATCGAGATTTCTTTTTTTCTCTAAAAGGTACTTTATGGTTTATCCTTGAACATTAATAAAAGAAAATGTGAAAAGCACAAGAAATGGCTAGAAGAAATTGTGGTAATGGAGTCTTAGGGTACATCATGGTGGGGGTGTTTGGAAGGTACATTCATTTTTCTTAGATTTACAAGAGAAGAGAGAAGATACCATTCTGAAAACATCAATTGATGCCGAGCCCATTCCCGAAAGCATCAAGGCTACCTGTCAGTTGACAATTAAGGGAAATGGTGAAAACCACACACACATATGCATACAATTAAGATTATATGTATATATAATCTCATGAAATTTAGCCATGTGGCTCACGTTTACTCTTTCCACTCTTCGCATTTCATCTTCAAGCAAAGATAGTTGTGCAGCTGAAGTCCAGTGGATACAATCAACTGGGCTGAAATGAACAAGAAACTAATAACTTCATATCCTTTCTTATCTAATGTAGTAGTAAGATTTGTGATCATCATCATAATCCTCAACACCAAAATCTCAACTATCTTGAGTTTGCCGAATGACATTATATAATGCGTCAATAAACTTTAAAATTAGTTAAACCTAAAAATCCATGCAAAAATACAAACGAAAAAGTTTTGCACTTAATAGTCTTCTTATCACGACTTTCTTAGTTTCTTATGAATGAATAGTGTGATTGTGTGAAGGAATTTCGAAAAACATCACACCAAAGAGTTCTCAACTAACCACTTACAACAACAACAACATCCAAGCCTAGTCCCAAACGAGTTTGGGGTCAGCTCAACTTGACAACTTGTGTGGAAAAAATCACGAGAAATCGATGAGTTGAGATAAGAGCTATGGTCACATCTCATTACAAGATTCAAATCATAAAACCAACATGCATGCAAATCATGGAGCATGACCACGACTTTACTTATTTTAATGCCATAAGTTTTATTCACACAATTCAGTTTTCCATTCTCCCCCAAAGCAGCAAAGCAACTGATCAAACTATAAGACCTCGCTTTTTCAAATGGTAAAAGGAAAGGGAGGGGACCTACCAACTATCAATAGCTTGTTGAATTTGTTCCCGACTTCCAGATTGATTATAAACTCTAGCTCTTCCAAAGTCTTCCTCAATACCAAACACCGTTGAACACACATTGGCACAGTTTTTGCAACCTGTAGGCAGATTTACATGGGATGTTCAGAATTAGAGAAATTTATATATAATCTATAAACAATTGATGGTTCTAAAACGAAACAACTTAACAACAAGGTTATGAAATACTCCCTCCGTCCCGAAATGAAGTTCCACCTTTCCCTTTTGGGGTGTCCCAAAACGAAGTTCCCCCTTCAACTTCTTTCTATATTTAGAAAGTTTTTATTATTCATTTACCCTCACATCACTTCATTGAATTGATGTGTATTACCACCATTTCACGATTCATTGCCCCCTTTATTAAACCCAACTGGTTACTACACCTTTCAACTACCCAAGGGCATTTTTGAAAAGCCAATTTTATTTCCTATTCTACCTAAAAATCCATGAAGTAAAACCCGGAACTTGTTTGCGGGACGGAGGGAGTTTACGTGTACATGTGGCACGTGTTACTTGTCAAAAATTATGCATCCTTGTATGAGATATTTATATTCACTCCCTAATTTCCTATGTTGAGTTGTTTCAATCAATCATCATTTACCCCAGTGCCGCAAAGGCTCCCACCTACGGTGGGGTAAGGGGGGTCAGATGTACCCCTGTACTAAAGCGCAAAGAGACTGTTTCCGGATGACCCATAATGAAAATCGTGTCCAAAATTGCATGGACTTACTGCTACTTCATAACAAAGAAGAACAAATAGTTTGGTGAGCCATTTTGCTTAATTCCATCATATTCTCAAACCAAAAAATAATGAATCTTTGGCTCCATTGCAAATGATTGAAAGGCACAAAAATGTTGAGTTGTTTAAAGGCACAAAAAGCAAAGGAAGGTATAGTGAATAACTGTGTGTGCGTAACAGAATGATACTTGTTTAATAGAGATGCCTAACATATGCTAAAGACGTGCTTATAAACTCCAAAAAACTTCTTAGAATGGCCTGTAATGAATACTCCATCCCTCCTACTTTACGTGCATCTTTCGGTTAACGAGACTTGAATCAAAGTATTTAGTTACTCATTTCATGTGTCCCAGTGTCCCACTATCACTAAGTTTGTTTCATGCCATATTTGGTAATATTTTTGTCATTCAATTTAATTACACTTACAAATTTAATGTCAACCACAATATTCCATTTTCCTTAATGTGTGTCACTGTCCCAAAGATAGTGGGACGGACATATTACAATTTATCATATTGATAATATACTACTTTGTAATATCTAATCGAGTATTTTAAAACACACTGAAGAAATTTAGAAATTACATTTAAGAAAATTAAGTGAGAATTATCAACATAACTAGTTAACTACTACAAGGCCAAGTCCTTGCATGTACCTATGCAGCTAAATTCATCAACAAAAACATGATCTTTTGAGGAAGATTCATCCAAGAAAGGATTAATAGCTGTCGCAGCATAACCATGAATCTCATCATACACTAGCCTTTGTGCAGGATCACTTAGAACCTGAACTGGTACAATAATCAGTTGTGAGTGTAGTTGGAAAGAAACAAGAAATTCAATACTTCGTGGGAGTAATGTAGTATACATGTGACGAACTTATAAATTTGGGAGCACCCACCTCATAAACTTCATTGACAAACATGCAGAAGTTTGTGGTATCAGCATCATCACCCGTCAAGTCTGGATGGCAAGCTTTCATGCAATTATAATATGCTTTCTTTATTTCTTCAGTTGTAGCATCTGGAAGCTGTCAGTACAAAGAAGACAAGAGGAAACATCATAAGTGTGTCTATGTCATGTGGTTCATGTCAAACTCAAACCATCTTTCCCTAGACTACTTTTAATCAACCAGAAGTCCAAAACTACTCAATCTCATATGTAATTACATGTCAAATCATTATATTTGATGAAATGCATAATTGGATAAGGATCACTCGGTAGGAAGTATATGCACAAGGTGACATGGGTAAGCCAAACTAAAAAAATTGAATCCAATAAAGCAGAGTCTCATTACCCATCCACCTCTCAGAAATATCTTTCAAGTTTCAATATGTGATTAGCATCCAATTTGACATTAACTAAAGGCTAAAGTGCCAAATCAGTACCAACATGCCCTGTGAAAATTGTCCCTTCTCATTTTGAACCTTAACATAATGATACAACTTTAGTCCGTCTGGAAAGTGGAAAATTCTGGAGAAAGATGACAGCGAGGAAAGTATATGAGAAACTGGGAATGGAAAAGAAACTCAATAAGTATTTATAAAGTTTGTTTTTATTTAATTACTTCTATCATTTAAGTATGGAGAAATCTAATATATAAAATAAAAGATTATCAGTCATATTTCGTTTTCCTTGGCATTTTCCTAGTTAAGTTCAAACAAAGAAAATAACTTTGTTTAGAAATTTCTTTCATTTCCCTGGTATTTTCTGGGATCCAAAACATAGCTTAAGGAGCTTCTGATAAACGCAATTCTGTAAGAACTCAAGGTGATAGAATAGGCACTCCATTCTGGAAACTCCCCGTGCCACGTTTGGAATGGGATTATGGGAGTTCATTTGCTGATAGGAATCTTCAATAACTGAGATTGGGTGCATAGAATCTCTCCGCTATACCATGGGTTTTGCACAATTGCTTGGAATTGTGTGGATTCTGGTTATTCGGTTATTCCAAATGTGTCTATACGGCTATACCTACCTAATTCCTTCTAGCGATTCCACTCCAAGCAATTTGATTCCAAAGCCTAAACCCACCCAAACAAAACCTAAGTATATTGAAATGAGAGGGTGAAATATGAAACTTCTAATAGTGTTTAATTATTACCAGGCCTAAAACAGCGTAGTAATCATCAGCGAGATCTTCAGCTGCTGCAGGGTCTTGGTAAGCAACTCTGATGCTGCCAAAGCCTCTCCACCTCGATCCGCCATGAGACCTCACACTTCTACTTTTAGTACTATCCAAAGTAGGCCGCTTGCTCCCAGTTAGTGAGTTGGGTACATGACTCTGGAGTTTGATGGAATCGGCACGAACTGGGGAAAGCAACTGAGCCATCTTCTCTTCTATACCTCCTAACTCTAACTCCGACGAATCAAAGGCCAATCAAGGCAAAGAATTGTGATATGTTTGATCGATGGAAAATAATGGAAACAGAGAAAAGGAAAGGAAACAAATGCTAGTGAGGTGGCAACCTGAGAACCATTCGTTCTTTCAAAGAATCTGGAAATGTGTGGTGTGGGCGTATTTTGCATATGTCACACGTCTCTTACCTCGGTCGGGGAATGTTTATTTATAACTTGAAAAAGATTGTACTCACACTTTTTGTCCTTAGTTGTCTCCCACAAACAAATTGTCTGTCCAACAGACAACTCATCTCGCGACAGACAATTTGTCTGTGAGAGACAGACGAGTGTACATTTTTTGTGTACAAAAAGTGTGTACCCCTAATAGGCCTCGGTATAACTTAACTCCGTAAGTCCGTATAAGTTAAAGATAAGGTTGTTTACTTTGGAGTGATTCTTGTTATAGCAGAATCATTTTTTCAAAAGTTGATCTATTTCAATTTCTAAAAAACTCATAGTTTGGAGAACCCAAGTATATCTGCACTTTTATTCAAACATTTCAATATCGGATACTACTTCTTATATAGAAGCAGTTTTAAGCATTAGATCCAAACTCCCCCATAGTTTACCTTTGTCTGATCATTTCATTTGTCATCCCATATTAAGGCATAGTAGTAAGGGAAATTTTAGGAGTGGGAGGAGGAGGACGATGAGGAAGAGGAGAATGATATTACGATTTTGCAGAACAGGTATTCACTCTACACTCTACAGTTCCAGATCTCTCTCATCTCTCTATACAATGAAATGAATGCCTACTATAATTTTTTTTAAATCCGTTAGGTTTACGTAAGACAACCCTCGTTATATAGGTTTTGGAACTTGCCTATCTATTACACGAGGTAAACGGGCCTAAATAAATGAGCAGCCGATATTAAATAACTAAAGATATTTTAACAAAATTACAAAGATACATTTTAACTAAAATGTCCCTACAATCTTCCATTTTGTGTTATATCATATTCAATCAGCATTACAGCGCGAGTATCTTTGTTTTTGTGTTGAGTTTGTAATGTAGAAGAGAGGGTAGATGAGATTGGTCAAGTTGCTCTTTTTTGTCTTGATTTTCAGTGCAACTCTGCTTCCTTTGTCTTCTTGGAAAGGCTTTGTGAAGAAATCTTTACAATCTCTCATTTGATGTCTTCTAGCACTTTGTTCTTTGATGAGGGGTATTGAGGGATCTTCAATATCTTGCATGCAGCCCTTGCCTTTCACAAATTGCTCTAGATCGGATTGAATGAAGTCTGATGGCACATCTAGAATGCATGTTCTTGAAGAAATCCAGACGCACATGAGATTCATCTTCAGTACTTGAGTATCTGTTAAATCACAGTTCCACAGTCAATCAACAAACATACGATTAATATAAACGAATGGAGAAGATGAATTATCAAAACTATATCTTCGTTGAATCCCTAGAATGATTTGTAGATGAAATACTTACTATTCATGAATAACCAAACTTATCTAGAGAGAGAGATTCTGAATAATATGTGACAATGTGTATAACGAAACTCTTAGGCATGATATGCTACCTACCTACGGAGTATATATTTATAGGCGTAGTACCAGATCATTCTAATTACAAAAGAAAACCCCATTTAAATAATTGAAATCCCACTCTTTAAATCTATTAGAAAAAGATAAATACAATTTAAATTGAACACAAAAAAATATGTTCTAACAATCACCCCTTTTGTGTTCAATTTGCTATGAAGCATGAGTTATCTTTGTATTTATGTTGAATTGCATTCTAGAGGAGAGTATAGATAAGATTGGTTGAGTTGCTCCTCTTTTATATTGAAATATCAGTGTAGTTCAGCTTTTAATGTCTTCTTCAAAAGGCTTTCTATAGAAATCCTTACAATCTTCCCTTTGATGTCTATCTTCTTGACAATTTTCTCTTTGATGTCGGGGGTTGAGAGATCTTTAAATCTAGCATGTAGTCCCTTCAGAAGTTGATCTTGATCAGCTTGAATGAAGTCCGATGGTGCCTCTAGAATGAACATTCTTGAAGAGTTTCAAGTGCAAATAGGATTCATCTTTGATACTTGAGCATTCGACCTTTGTCTCCACCAGCATGCTTTTGTGGAGAACTCGTCGGTGGCACAACGGAAAGTGATGGTTGAGTGGTCTGCATATGCTGACCATTTGATTTGAAGCTGAATGGGAAGATGTGGGCAGATGTTTGTGTTTGAAGAGAGAAATGTTCAAGATTGATCTTTGAAAGTTTAAATGCACTTGGACCTCTCCCCCCTCATGACAATCCGATGAATCAGGTCATCCTACTTTATTAAATATTTTATTCTCCAAAACAAAACAAAACAAAAATCCAGATACACCGTAGTGTTCCATTGACCCATGATTAATGAAAAGACATCAACGAAGAATACGCATGTCGTTGGCAATTCATTCGTTCGTCATTCGTATCGCCTCGCTTGCTCAGACTATTACTTGCCCACGAAGTATTATTATTTGTATTACGCAGAACGATTTATACTTCATATATTGTTACTACGTATATTTATATTTTAAGTTTGAAAAGCCATCCCCTCTTTATAATTGCAACGCATAATATTAATTTAATTGTGTGTGTCGTCGTACTATACATCTATCCGTGTATGTATATGTATACTCTTGATGTATAATGTATTTTTTTTACTTACTAATCTTAGCCCTATCAATTATTTTTAGTGTATAATTATCACCCGTATGAAAAATGTTACTTTTATTATCCAAGCTAAGCCAAAATCTAATCTGGTCAACTTAATAATAAAGAAAATGTTAATTTTCTAACATTTTACATTCATAACGTACATTTTATCTGATTAAGATTATTCATTTTATTTTATTTAAAATTTTCGAGGTGTCACATTATTAGGGGTGGGAAAAACCGAACCGAAACCCGGAAACCGACCCTGGACCGACCCGAATTATGATCCCGGTCCGGGTTTTTTCTTTTTAACCGGCCCGAACTAAAAAAAACCCGGACCGAACCGAAAATTCCGGGCTCATTAACGGGCCTTAAAATCTATAACCCGGCCCGGACCGAAAAAACCCGAAACAATTAGTTTTAATATAAAATTAATATAGTATATGAATATAAATAAAATATTTCCTTATATATGATTATAATCACGGTGGATAAAAAAAGATTTAGTAACTTTTAGTGACTACAAATATGTTGAATTTGTTTAGCGTAATGATGACCATGCGAATATATTTATAGCAACTCTTGTAAATTTTTTATTTATAAAATTTATTTCGTAATGTTTTTAAGAAACCTATATTATTTATATATATACATCTTACATAAAATATTAAGATAATTATCTTCTTTAAATTTGAATTGTTGGTGATTTTGGAGACTAATATTTGGGTTATTATTTGCGCTTTGTATTTTTGATTAATTTTATTTGAAAATAAGTGTTAAAATATAAAAGAACAATGACATATTTCACGACCGGGCTTTAACCGGTCCAACCCGAACCCGGACCGAACCCGGGCTACCAAAAACCCGACTCGGACCGAATATAATGGGCTTTGTTCCGGTCTCTAATTTTCATAACCCGAGACATTCCGGGTAATTTCCGGGTTTAGCAAAAACCCGACCCAGACCGGACCGATCCCACCCCTACACATTATTGTAACACTTGAGATTAATTTAAAAGGATTAATAGTACTACTCATACTAACAGAGGCGCATCTCCTTTTAGGGAGCTCATCCGCTAAGAACTCTAAAGTTAAGCGTGCTTGCACGGAAGTAGTCTTGGGATGGGTGACCCCCTGGGAAGTTTCTCAGGGCGCGCATGAGTGAGGACAAAGTGTGCGGTAAAGGCTAGAGGTCTGGAGTAACTACCTCGGGTCCTGCGAGGCTGGGGTATAGTCCCGCACCAAAAAATTGTGAAATAATATATTGCTATATTAAGATTTGAGTTACTCCTCCTATCAGGTTGACCTTTTAGGATGTAATTTTAGGTGTTAACGTAAATCTTATACTTTTCTGAAAATACTTTTAACCTAAAACATTTTCATATCCTTTTTACATTATAATTAAATTTCTATTAAAATATAGGATATATAATTGGTCAAAATTGATGAGGGAGGGAGGGAGGGTGGTGTTAGTTTTCTCGCACTAAAAAAATGTAGTAGTAAAGGGTCAAAGTACTAAAAATAAATAACATAAATGCAATTGTGCGAGATTGGGTTGGTTGAAAATTTAAAATGTGAATAAATGATTAAAATAACCGGGTTCTTTCTAATTAATGGCGATAGGGAACAAGGATAGATTCTGGGGTAATAAGATTTCTGGCTCAGACTTAATCACATGAAAATTATTTAATGAGCAACACTAGTCAATACTAAGTTCTAACCGCTCTCGCGGCGTAGAATACAATAATTTAGGGAAATAGACTGATCTCTCATGCGACAAGTATCTAAATTACCGCCAAAAGAGCGAGCGTACGACCCCTTAACCGTTATTAATCTCTTAGTGAACGATTAAGTGTGTGTGAAAGTGTCTTAGAATAAATTAGACTTCTCTTAATATTCAATGTGCAATTATAATCCTAGTGGTCATTCTATGTTACAAGAGATATCAATTAAATCATTCATCCATAAATAAAATAAAGATTCATGCAATTAATCCATCAAAATATTAACCATACATCATGACTAACCCCTTCATGTATCCCAAATTCCTAATTAAAACTACTCACAAGCCATAATTGAATTAACAATAGAATTGAGATGAAAAGAATTAATTGTCATTAATTAATTAGTTAAAAAGATGGAACTTATAAAGAATCCCAAAAACTTGACGAACAAAACTCAAAAAGCTCTCTAAAAACGTAATACGTTTATCTCTCTAAGCTCCATTATGAAAAACAAATAAAACAAGGCCGAATTTATAGAAAAACAGCAAAAGTGGACGAATTTCGGCCTGCGCGTCAAATTTTTGTTCCGCCCGCACGGTCCGATCGTGCGGGCACTCCTGAACACCAGGCCGTGCGGGTCATCCGTGGGGCATGCGGTTCAGAATTTTTAACTTATTTCTCTCTAAATCACCCGCGGGGCGTGCGGTAATGATCCACGGGGCGCGTGGACGTCTCGTGAACCATTTTCTTGCTA